GATCAACAAAGACACAAAACATAAAGTGACACTTTTCTTGCAAAGATGGTTCCATAACCTGGAGTTGCCACTAGTCGAATTCGATATGTGACGTTTTTCTTGAGAAACTCAACATGTACACGATAACTAACTGCATAGACACAACTAAAGTTGTGTCACTTTTCATGTGCGCAACTCTTAATTTCGCGCTCAAAGACAAAGTGACGTTTGCGCCCTCTGCTAATTATTTTGTAAACTTCCTTTATGACGTATTTGCTGATAAAAATAGAACATTTTTTAAACATTGTTTTTCATTCATCTCAAAAGTGATGATTTTTGAGATGTGTCACTTTTCTTGTGCACTAACGAAATGGCGAAATTATTGGCTATATTCCAGACATTTGACAGACCCTGTAGTGTTAACAATGAAATACACTATTCTTTTTTCAAACACCTGCGTGACCACATTTTTTGAATTCATGATACTCAATTTTGCTTGCTTGGATTTTGTATCTGCTAGACCAATTCTAATAATAATAATAATGTTTATTTCCTCAAAAAACAATTATTTACATAAATATATACATTCAAACAAATATAAACATCAAGACAAACGGATCAATTTATCGCAATAAGCGATATCTTCCAAGAGACCCAACTGGTAACAATGTATATGTAATTTTAACTAAATAATTATGGCTACCGAAAAAGTAATACTAAATGATGTGCTACTAAAACTGAGCGAATGAGCATACTTGAATTATGTTACGGATCGACAGTCAGTTACTACAAGAAAGGTAATAGACACAAAAAAGTGCAGCAAAAGATAGATGAAAGGCGGACTAGAGAAGAAAACAAACACGTAAGGCTACGGTTACAGTGCAAGCGAATTCGCGCGAACCATAGTTCGGGCGTGTACGTCCGAATTCGGGCGAACAAACAAACCGATATAGTGAAATGTGTATGGTTACAGTACAAGCGAATTAATCGTGCGAATCGCTACTAGTCGCTAGAAGTTCAAATGGGTTTGTTTTTTTCGCGCGAACTGCACATTTTAATATTAAAATTCAAGTTGGCATTATTTCAAATAATATTTGGATATCATGGATAATGAGAAATTAATCCTACTGGTGTTCGACAGAAGAGTGTTGTGGGACCAAAAATCACATTAAACTACGATTTATTAAGCTAGTCACACTGTTTAATATAATGTTTTCTAATGTATTTATATAATTGAAGTGTTAAATTCCGGTCTTAAATAGTAAATTGTTGTGGTATGGCGCCAATTTCACTATTAAAATATAGTTTAAAAGTTTCTCATACCAACCTTCTTCTCGCCTTCTTGCACTTGCCATCATACCAGTCGTACACACTCCCTTTTTAGAGTTACCTCCCGCACTACCTGGATGATGCTTTAGCACGTACACGTTGTCGATTGCTCCCCTTCCCTTCCGAAAGCCTGCCTGCCCATCCGGCAAAATTCCCCCCAACTCCATCTCCTCTTCCAGTCTTCCCAGTAGTATCTTCGTGTATACCTTATATGCCGAGTCTAATAGGTTAATTCCCCTGTAGNTATTTTGTAATTCACGACGGTAACAAAAGCTCTAACAGTACTCAAACGGGTGCTGTAACGAGACTCCTTACAGCACCCGATGCTGTAATGAGATTTTAGTAACATTTTATGGAACCAGTTCAAGTTGGTGACACTGGGTCATTAATTTTTCTAGTTGTCAATGTGACAATTTTTGTCTATGGATATTTAAACACGTTCTTAGCATCGAATACAAGGTCCACAATGATGAGGACATTGAATACTGAGCAATTTCTCTTATTTTGGGAAGTGTACATGAAACATTTTTTTCAGGTGAATACATTTTGTGTTTTGACAGTTTCTAATTGTCAATTCAAATTTCTATTTTCAAGTGTTACGGTTCATACCTATTTCCCTACATTGTCTAAATTTATTTTATTTTTGTTAAAAAATAAAATAAATGAATTTTTAGTTCACATTTTGTCTAAAAAAATGCCTTTTTCACATATTATGGGCCATTGTTTTAAAACTACCCAACCGATTGGAATAAGTATTAATACTGTTACGGGGGATGGATTGCGCCGAAGAAGAAACAACAGTTGTTGAATAAAACGAAATAATTTATTTACCAAAATATGTACAAAAAAAAACCCTCAAAGGTTTTTTTAAGACGAAAGGGGTCGTCTTCGAATTGGCGGTTGAAGTGCTGGCTTGTTGTCGCTGTTATCGTTGTCGCTGCTGTTGTCGCTGTTATCGTTGTCGCTGTTGTTGTCGCTTCGGAGTTCGGTTGGAATTGACCGCTGATGGAAACCCGGCCGCCTTAAATAGGCGCCCTTGGGTAAAACCCTATCAACCGGGCGTTGTGGTTGGTTGGCGACCGTCCGATCCGTAGGTCGGGTTGACGACCAATGGCCAAGCAGATCGAACGGCGCTCAATTCGTACTTGGTGACAGTAGCAGCGAAGTTTTTTCAAAGTATGGAAACAGAAGTAAACTCTCCTACAGACTCCCTGAGCTTGTGTCCGCCAAGACATCGCCGAATCCATTACCACACCAAGATTATTGGAAACACCAAGCCTCAGTTGAAGGGTAGATAATGAATTAAATTGTGCCAGCAAGGGGCGAGTGCCAAATGCAATGGCTTGCGTTTTACCTGGATTCAGGTTAAGTCCATGACGTCTAGACCAGTCAAATACGCTAGAGAGATCGTTGTTAAGATGCAACAAAGCATCCGGGAGGTTATTAACAGTTGACGAAATATAAAGTTGAAGGTCATCTGCATACAAATGATAGTTACACGAGACACTATCACTAATACTGTTTATGAAAATTGAGAAGAGCAACGGACCCAGCCACTGCCCTGGGGAACTCCACACTTGATGTAACAGGAGAAGAGAGTACAGATTCCACGCGGACACGTAAAGACCGATAGGAAAGGTAGGACTGGAACCAAGAGACACAAGAAGAGGTGAAACCAATAGCAGAAAGCATAGTGAACAGGAGAGTATGGTCCACAGAATCAGAGGCCTTACTAAAATCAAGTAACACTAGCAAGGTAACACAACGCTTATCATAAGCAGATCTAATATCATCGGTGATCTTAATCAGTGCTGTAGTAGTACTATGCCCTTCACGAAAACCAGACTGGAACTTGTTAATCAGATTAAACTCCTCAAGATATTTCTAAATCTGTAAATAAGCGTTCAATAGCTTTTGACAACGTAGATAGAATAGAAATGGGTCGAAAGTCACCCACATGAGACGGAGATTTAATTTTTGGGATAGGAATAACATGGGCAATTCGCCAGATTGACGGAAATAAAGACTGTTCAAAAGAACAGTTGAACATATGTGTTAGGGGAGTAATAACTAGTAATATCCAGAATGGGTAAGAGTACCATCTGCTCCGACACTAGTGGACTTGGAGTAAGTTAAAGCATCCCGAACCTCAGCAGCTGTAACCAAGTTGAATGAAAAAGAAAGCACGTTGGTAGATGCAAGGATTTCATTAATAGTATTCTGCTTAGTTATGTTACCAACCACCACAGGAGGATCCGCAAAATACTCTGCTAGAGCAGCAGCATCAAGAGTGTGTCCCTGATCTGTGGGAGACTCTATAACACCAAGTGATCGCATTGTTTTCCAAAATGTCTTAGGAGTGGCTCCAGACAACCTCTGACAGTAGTGCAATCTTTTAGCGTTTTTGCATCCATGATTACAACGGTTGCGCAACACACGATAATGTTCCCGATTGACAGCAGAAGGGCTACGTTTGAACAATAACTTAGCACGATTGCGTTCCCGCATGAAAGACCTAATCTCATCATTTAGCCAGGGTGCCGGCATGTGTCTAACTCTCCGTTGCCTATCCGGAGCATGCTTGTTATAGAGGTCGAAAACCTTGTAATTAAAGTACATTCTACTACCCTTGCTTTTGCTGTCTTTTAATTTCTCGTTGTGTTTGAGATAGTCATCATAGGATTTGTTTCCATGCACTCTTTTTAGATGCTTAACAAAATTTGTCGTACTTTCGGCAGAGCCCTTAATAATCGTTTTTGAAGGAAGACATAACTGGCACAGAGCTTCGACATGCGAATTTGTATCACACGTTTCAACAAAGAAAAATGTCCGTCCAGCATTGGGGTCATTATTCGTCATGAGGAATAAAGATGCGAGATATATGAAATTCCCGGTATAGTACAGTAAACTATAATAGTTTTTGAAACAGCTTTGGATAAGGTTGAATTAAAGTCCCATAATTTTTGTTTTAGAAATAATTTAAAAACAAAAACATTTATTAAAAAAAATGTTACAACAACATAAACTCATCGTTACGCAACAATTCAATAAAATATGCACATTTCTAAATAAATTAAATAAGATAGTACGAAATAATATTTATACAATAAGAATTTAGGAGGATATGCAATTTTTTAAAGTGGCTTGTCACAAGCACCAAAATAAATTAAATTGAAATGGTTAAAATTGTCAAAAAAAAAACAATAATTTACGTTACTTACTTTACTTACGCCCACCAGGTATTAATATTTGTAATTATTACCATTTATTATAATTTATTAATATAACTCCATTGAGGTTTATTCATTTTGATATGCTATCGTAATATGTAGTACAACTTATACAGTACAAAAAAATAGATATTTTTTAACCAGCCTCTTCTTCTATAACTAACATTATCAAAAAATACCTGATGCGGCTGTTTCTAATATGATTAATGCTTAAAACAGGAAAAATGATTTGCCTCTTTATACTTCCATTAAGTTCTATAAATATGGCTGTAAAAATGAATTTGATTTAAAATTGGTGCCAGTCTGTTCGACTATCACAGTACAAGTGTATATGTATATGTTATTATTTATAATTATTTACACATAAGTGAAAACGAAAAATAAACGACTCAATGACCAGTTTTCGAAAAAAAAAAAAAACAACAAAAAGTGTATCGAAATAATCAATGAAAAAAATCAATAAAATTTGTACTTTCTTTTCATTTTTTCATTTTCTTTTTTGTTTTAATGAAAACAAAACTTTACAAATCCTCTTTGTATCTATCTTCGAAAGTAAACATACTGTACAGTTTTTATATCCATTATACACATCAAAATACTTAATACATTTACTTAATTTATACATTGGTGTTCTTTTCTTTTTTTTTTAATTTTATAATCGTCCACGAGAATCTCCACCATGCGAGAAAATTGCGGTAAACCTTACCACAATATTTTCATCACACAATTGACGAAATATTAACTTTTAAGTAGTTTCTCGTAGACAATTACAAATTAAAATTTTTTAAGTGGAATTTTTACGTGGAAGGTCTAGATCTAATAAACTTCCGCCTAATTTAACTCCACCTAAACTACCGAGACTTTGCCTTTCGGTGCGATTACGCAGTCTAGGAAGATCCGTACTCACATGAAGAGCTCGCGAAATGTTATTTCTAAGTGCTGTCGATAATCTAGATAAGGAAGAACAGCCGTTTCCGCTCTGTCAAGGTAGCATCTCGACGTAGTTCTCCGGAACCAAACCCGTCTTACCGTTAAGGGTACCTTCCAACCAACCTGGTTCTTGGGATTGTTTTACTAAATAAAATAATAGAAATAAATATAGTTTTTTGATACTTTAATAAATAATTTACCGTTTGTTATTATTTGATTTGGTTCAAATGATAATTCCCCTTCGTTTTCACCGAGACAGGCATATAATGTTCTAACCCTCCTACAAAAAATAGAAGTATTGTTAGATTATAATCTGATTATGATGCAATTGTTTTGTAGAAACATTTAGATTAGGTTAAAGGTAAATTAAGACACAACATTACGAAACAAAACAAGAATTCTTACCGTACAAGCGGCAAAGTCGATGGACTCGACCTACCACTACTATTGGCTCCAGAAGAAGAAGAATAATTCAAACGTCCTTGTAGACTTTAGCAGGAAAAAGAGTGTACAAGACTAGGTTAGTCAAAAAGTTAGTATAGAAAGATAAATTAGCGAAAGAATTAAACTAGTTAAAGTTTAATGGATGTAACATAACAATTGACCCAATTTCGCGGAAAATATACAGGGTGTCTCACGTAACTGGTTTGTTAGAACTTTTTCAGGTTCCACTATTCGTAGAGATTTGAAATTTTGGTAGCATGGGTTGTTCATTCGGAACTTTCGATTTAAAATATTTTCAAGATGGTCGCTATTTGTATTATTGTTGCCATTAGTTACATTTGACGACTGGTGTAAGTCATTGAACATCATGGTAAAATTATTCCAACGGCGATATTTAAAATTTATTTTGTATTGATGGCGAATGTAATAAACTTTTGGACAGGACGTGTCGAACACTTAATGAGAGATGCCCAACAAACCTAACGCCCATCACGAGGAAAAATTTCAAAAAATTTATAAAGAATTTATTAGTTCTGGATATATCGAGACCAAAAGACATCGCATATTTCCGGTCACTAGTGATGAAGACAACGAAATAAATATTTTATCGTATTTTATTGCATTTCCAAATTCAATTTTATAACAAATTTATATTTTTATTCAAATCTAATTTTTGTCATTAACTTTTTGTTTTAATAGTTTCATTTATTTGATCTTCTGTTTGTTATTTTTGGTAAGTAAAAGCTAGTAAACTAAAAGATTATCGTAGTTAATAGTACAACTAATAATAGAAATAAATTAAACAAAAATGTCATGGCCTTCTAATAAAAATACAAACGGTTTCCTGCATTTTCTGCATGTTTTGATAAATTTACGAATATGAGAGAAACTACAATAAATAAGTATAGGAATGTTTATAGATAAATTGTAGAGAATTAAATTCCCTTTCGTGTAGGCTAATAAAATATGGGGCGTTCCATTTAAAATTTTCGACTTTCTCCCCATTGAATATGGAGAAACGGTAATTCAATTTTTGACCACCCTGTGTAAGATACTCTGATGCAATATATGACAATCTATTTGAGAGCATCTGAAGAGTAATCGTGCCAATTTAGAGCTTTTTTGAATGAACGTTGGCTGGGATATAGGGTTTTAAAGAGCATGGTGAAATTTGCCAAAAAAACCTTAAAAACAAAATAACTCGAAAACGAAAAACGCTAGGTACCAATAACTTTTATGAAAGTCAACATATTTTTTTACGTATAATTAAAAGGTGCAATTAAAACTATAGCATTCCATTTAAAATAACGAAGTTATGGTCTACTTCTGGTAGACCGGAAGTGGCAGCCATCTTGAAAATATTTTAAATCGAAAGTTCCGACTGAACAACCCATACTACCAAAATTTCAAAACTGTACGAATACTGGAACCTAAAAAAGTTCTAACGAACCAGTTACGTGAGACACCCTGTATAAATAAATAAACCAAGTTAAATCTCTTAGTGTCAAAGTCTCCTAGTTAGAATTTGATCAAAATCAGGTTAACCATTTCGTCACATCCTGTACTTTATGTACTTAAATAGTGTTATAACAATCAAAAAATTATATATTTTAGATAAGCATATAATCACAGTTTAAGGTTAATTAAAAGTAAATTTAACCGTTTTGAGTCCCAAGGAGTATTGAAAAAACACTGTCAAATAGTTATTCAAACAGCGCAATCACGCTTTTTCTAAATGGCCGCGATACGAAATGTGCTGCTTGAGACTCAAATGGTTAAGGATGTTATTGTACAGCCTAAACTTCAACTTATATTAACAAAAGTTTTAAATAAAAGTTACTTGAAACTACTTTCCGCATATCTTGGCGTAAAAATAAAACAAAAATCTTGACGGCAGTCTGAGTTACGACATGGTGAGTGTGATTTTTAAATGGAACACCCTGTATTTTTTTAAGGTTTTTGTATTTCTTTTGACAAGGTGTTGCAAAACTCTATAAGATTTTAATACTTTAAACTTCATAGTTTTCGAGATATCGAAACTTTTATTTAAAAAGATTTGACGTAGCGACAACCAAATTATGACGTCATTATGGAATAGACAACCTAAGCCTTGACGTCACAAGGATGGGCGGAGCTTATACCGACTCCAAACATCTTCGTTGCTAACTGTGTTGCTAACGAAAAATCCCCATATGCGATTTTTCAGACTGCCGATATCATTTTTATTTTATATGGGGAAAATAGTGTCAAGTAACTTTTATTTGAAACTTTCTTTGATATAACTTGAAGTTTAGGCTGTAAAACCATTATTCCATACTTTTTGTACACCCTGTATATTCGCGAGCAAGTGGCTTCGGCTTAGTCATTAATGGTACAAGCTGAAACTGTTTATAATATTGTTGCGTCTCGTCCGCGAACGGCCTCGGCTTTATCAAATGAAGTTGAAGATCTTTGAATTAATTAAGCCGCGGTTACTTGTGGCCGAGGTTTAGTAATTAATGTTATATTAACCTGAAATTGGTCATTATAATAAGACGCCTCGGCTTTATCAGGTAAAGTTATAGATCTTTTAAATTGTTAAGCCGCAGTCTCTTCCGGCAGAGGCTTAGTAAGTAAAATTTTATCAACATGATCATCATATGTTTCCATAATTCGTCGTTAACATCACAAATTGACGTATCTCAATTTTACAAGAGAGCAGTTTAAAGTTATAGACAATCTTTGAAGCTGCAGTGTGTATTACTGTGAAGTATATATTTTTCAAGAATGCTGTAGCAATGTAATTTGCAGTTTATGTGCGTAGTCTGCGACTAGGGCTTGCAATACCGGACAAAAATCTCAAGTCTGGTATTCGGTATTCAAAATTTTTCAAACCGCGATACCGGTATTGATACCGGTATTACTATAAAAAAGTTTACTCACTAGATAGATATATCTAATTGTAAGATTTTTTCCCCTCTGCGGCGTCATCTCTACTAACAACAGGTTAATTCCTACTATATGTTTAGATTGGCAACAAAGCATAAGATACAGAATCTGAGAAGATAATCAAAAAATGGAAAGATATTAGGAATCTGTACAAAGTACCAACAAACTTAAAGGTCTGGATACCATTATTGTTTTGTTGTCTTTCACTTGGTCCAAAGGTTCAACTTCACTACCGCGTAAAAAAATGAAATTACACTTCATCATCTGAAGCTCTGTGGAATTCTTTCGAATTCCTGCTTTGGAATTTTCTGGAAAGGTGCAGATTCAAGAAAGAAACTTTAACATAATAGCTCTTGGTAGTTTGTCAGACTTATTATACTACTGATAAGTCTGACAAACTACCAAGACACAGAGCTTCAGATGATGAAGTGTAATTTCATTTTTTGACGCGGCAGTGAAGTTGAACCTTTGGAGCAAGTGCAGATTCAAGAAAGAAACTTTAACATAATGGCTCTTGGTAGTTTGTCAGACTTATCATACTACTGTTATACTTGGTGCGACACTACACGAATCAATCTGACCTGAAGCACCATTATGGAGTAAAAACTCCAAAAATAGTTGTATGCAGAGAGTATTTTATTGTTGGCTAGGTATGACAAATTTATTGAACACGAACATTAAGTTGTCGTCATCAAAGGTTGGGTCTTCGTTATCTTCAACATTTTGTCAGAGTACAAAATGATATTTCTTGTAGATGGTATTCACACAGATCAAAAAATGTCACTTGAAAAAATGAGATTAGTACGGACATGAGATAGATAACAAATTTTTGTTTGGTCAACATCATTTTCCAGCACAGCTTTAAACAGACACGGCTGTTTTCGATCGGTCGCCTCCGGCTAGCATTTTTTTAATGAAACTTCAAAAAATGTGACTTGAAAATGTAAACTTAGAACGGACAGAAGATAGATAATAAACAAGAATCCTCTACGTCATTTTACACCACAACTTCAAAGTAGCACGGCCGTTTTTGAAGACATCGGCCGCCCCCGGACAAAAATTGTCCGGGATCCTGAAAACCGGAATCCCGGTATTGCAAGCTCTACCTGCGACTGAATAATATACTGTAAAACGTGACTCAGTTGTTAGTTTTTGATAAATAAATTAGATTGAGAAAATAATATTTTTTAGAAATCAGTAGACATATAAAAGAAATAGAAATATAAAAAAGAATGGTATCTATTGATAGACACTTTATTTTTTCTAAGATCATTAGTACAAAACATACCACTCAGAAATAAAACTTATTTTGTTAAAAGTACACAACAATAAAGAAATAAATAAACATTCTTACAAAACGAAACTGCTGTCTCAGAAACTGTTTTAATGGGGTAATGAGGCATAGAAATTTTGATGTTCAGGTAATCTGATTAACGGAATATCGCCAGACCATTTGGTTTCGGTTCTCTTAGCGGTTCTGTTTTCTTTTTCAGCACTCCTGCCGGAAGAATCAAATGTCGGGACTCCGTTGTAGTCAGGATTCAATGCTTCTAGCGATTCTAGCGAAGAAGAAAACGACAAAAAAAAACGACGAAAAGGCTGTAAACCCACGTTCGTCAATGCTAGGTGTCAGACGGTTATTGATTTGAACTTGGCATCGGCGAACGTATCTCAAAAGATTAGCAACTGGTGTGTCTGCCAGAAGGCGTCTATGTCTGACCATAGATGGATCACTTTTGATGGTCTACTTCTGGTAGACCGGAAGTGGCAGCCATCTTGAAAATATTTTAAATCGAAAGTTCCGACTGAACAACCCATACTACCAAAATTTCAAAACTGTACGAATACTGGAACCTAAAAAAGTTCTAACGAACCAGTTACGTGAGACACCCTGTATAAATAAATAAA